TTTGGGCAGGTGACTTACCTTTGCTTTCATTTCCTCATCTATAACGTGAAGATAATAACTGTAGTTATTAACTCACTGGAACACTGGCGATAAGATAATACACAGGAAAGTGTGGCAAAATGCTTGACACACACTAAGCGTTCTGTACCATGGAAATGACACAGGTTTGCTTTTATTACAGAGTTTGCTCATCTATTTATTCAATCAGAATTTATTGAGCATTGACCACATACTACACGTTAGAATCACCTGGGGAATTCTGATGACATCCCACTGCCTTAGCCCCACTCCACACCAAAACCTAAAGGAAGGCCCAAGCTTGGATTTGTTAACAGTTCTGCAGGAGCTTCTAATGGAAGAAACAAATCTGCAAGCAAAAATTACGGGCCAATGTCCAGGCAGCAGAGGCTAAATGTACGCACATGATCCCAGAGAAACTTTTAGCAGGGAGATGCCTGCCCAGTCAAGTTTTCTTTGATGCTTATATATTCCTCACCTGCTTTATTAATCTTAGGAGGCACAAACCATGTTTTTCTAAACTCTCAGCACTTAGCACCATGTCTAACAAATAATAGATGCAGGAGAAGTTTGTCAATGCAACCAGAAGTGAGTTGAATTTCTAAGATTAACCCTCCAGCTCCTAGAAATCTCAACACAGTATGTCAGGATAGAGCAGTAATTATACAGCTATCATATCCATAACAAACTCATAAAAGCACTTTTCCCTGAATATGTTGCCCAAGCCTCAAGGCTAGACATAATGATTTTGCACACCAGTTTCCAAGGGGAGGAGCGACATGGGAAAAACTTTTAAGTTAATTAAAAGAGACACTCAGGCACACTTCATGCCATTCTTTAATCTCCATTCTCCTGTGATAAATATTGAACGACAGAAACGGGCCCAGGCTAACGAGCTGGAGGCAGGACCCTACGGAGGTTAGATACACTGCAGCAGCTCCAGGGCTCAGGAAAAGGAAGAAGGATATCGGCACCCTGCCTGGGTTGTGTCAGTGATGTGCTGCCAAACAGTACTCCAAAGGATGCCCACTGGACACGGGCTCTCACCCTTCTTTGACTAATTTAAATAAAAGGTAAAAAGGAACTACCATGTATTGCAATTAAGAAGTCAGAGAATAATAACAATTATGATTGACTGAGGGTTTTCTGGTGTCAGGTACTGTGTTAAAGCCTTATCATTAAAAATTTCATTTAATTGTGGTAGCCGGCCTCCAAGAGGGCTCCCAACACTCCTTACCTCCTAGTACATCACCCATACATGTTCCCTGTTACACTGAATCAGCGTTGACTCCTGTGACCAATAGAAAACTACAGAAATAAGGGTCTGTGACTTCTGAGGTTAGATGTCATAAAAGACATCACCACTTCCAACATGACCTCTTGGATCACCTGCCTGGGAAGCCAGTACCATGTCAAGTGGACACTCACACAGCCCTGTGGTGAGGCCCACATAGAGAGGAACCCATGTGCCAGCCTTGTGACTGGGCCACCTTGAAGTCTATCCTCCCACTCTCACCAAGACTTTGCGTCTTCCAGCTGAAGCCCCAGACATCCCAGAACAGAGGAAAGTCATTGTCCCTGGGCTCTATCTGAATTCCTGACCCTCAGAATCTATGAGATAATTGTTTTGTTCTTTTTTAATTTGAGAGGGGGTCTCATTCTGTCACCCAGGCTGGAGTGCAGTGGCACAATCATGGCTCACTGCAACCTCTGCCTCCCAGGTTTCAAGGCATCTTCCCATCTCAGCCTCCCAGGTAGCTGGGACCACAGGAGCACGCCACTTCACCCAGCTAAATTTTGTATTTCTGGTACAGATGGGGCTTCATCGTGTTGCCCAGGCTGGGAGATAATTGTTTTAAAAACTAAGTTCTAACAAAACTAAGTTTTGTTATGCAGCAAAACACCACTCATACATAAGAGCTAGACACTTTTATGTTACAGTTGAGGAGAGTTGGACCAATTCAATCATGGAGATTCTAAGTGAAGCAATGGGGATGGGCATCTAGCTTTGCAGATCTGAGAGTCTTGCCTCTCGTTCTGTCCTAACAAAGAAGCATAAGGTATGGAACCTGCTTCCCATCCCTTTTATTAAGGGAAAGTAGTCATTTAACAGGAATCTGTAAAGCACTTTGGTTGTCCTCAAGATACTTTGTTCATCCTACAGGGGACCCACCATTCTGTCATGTGTGTTTCAGTCATTTCTCTCTGGATAGATCAGAGGCTTCCTCACAGCACCCGTGAAGGGCAGAAGGGTGGAGACAGGATGCTGTGCTAATCCCGTGGACTCTGCATCAACCTGCCTGCCTTGGCCTCTCCACCACGTTCAGGCTTGGTGATCTTAGGTAAGTTAACTAAATTTCATAAGCCTCACAGACTTCTCATTTTAAAATTAGGGCCAATTTTAACACATGCATTTGTTCCAGCTGCATTAGAAAAATATTCATGGCCAGGCACAGTGGCTCACATATGTAATCCCAGTACTTTGGAAGCTAAGTGGGAGGATCATTTGAACCCAGGAGTTCAAGACCAGTCTGAGCAATACAGTGAGACCGTGTCTCTACAAAAAGTTTAAAAATTAACCAAGCAGGGTGGCATGCACCTGTGGTCCCAGCTATTTAGGAGGCTAAGATGGGAGGATCACTTGAGTCTAGGAGGTCAAGATCAGCCTGGGCAACACGGTGAAACCCCTCTTCTACAAAAACTACAGAAATTAACCAAGCATGGTAGTGCGCACTTGTTGTCCCAGTTATTTGGGAGGCAGAGATGCGAGGATTGCTTGAGCCCAGGAGGTCAAGGCTGCAGTGAGCCAAGACCACATCACTGTACTGCAGCCTGACACAGCGAGACTCTCTCCAAAAAGAAAAACAAAACAAAACAAAACAAAAAAACCTCATAAAGACTTAGCACATTGCCTGGCGCATAGTAAGTGCTCAATAAATGTTACCTATTTGTAATATTATCATCAAACATGTGTTGTAAAACACCCAATATGTTAAATGGCCAATCAAAAGCTCTTCTCTCAGTCTTTCCTCATGTCAGAAAGACATGAAATAATAGTGGTTCTTCAGAGTGACTAGATCTCACTATGCAGGCACTGAAATCTTCAGCCACCAGGCTAGCCAAAGGGCTAAAGCCTTGGTCATGGCTCCTGCTAGAGTTCAGTCTGCCCTGCTGGGGTGAAGAGAGGATCAGGGAAAGCTGCCAGATAGTTCTACTGTCCAGTGGATCATGCACAGACAGCAATTTGGCTCTTTCCTATGAGAACAAGCAAAGAGGGTCTCTCTCAACCTGGTCTTATAAACAGGGGTGTAGAGGCAGCTTTGTTTCCTCCTATATCTCAATCCCATTACATTCTTATCATTTTGTCAGTGCAGACAAAGCTCCTTAGCTCCTGCCAGTGCTCCCTCCAATGCCTTCCCTTGGGGTTCACTCTCTGCGGGTGTTGGGGCTAATAACCTGCCACCTATCTTCCTGTCCCTCAGGGGATTCCCACCGAAATGATGCTTAGATTCCCACCTTCCCTTGACCTTAGCTTTAAGGTTCCTCCCTTTTTTCCCCTTAAACATGAGAAAGATTTCTCTGTAAAATTCTGTTTGGAGTCCAAAATATTTCCATAACCTTTCATTTCTGGGTAAGACCAAGAAAAGGGAAATTAAGAGAAATACTAGCCACATTCACCCATCTCAAAATAAGCACAAATTCCCGGCCTTACAAAGTGCTGGGTTAGGTTTCTGGGGAGATATAAAAAGGGATCAAGATGCAGAGCTTGCCGTCAAGTGACCCCCAAGTCCAACGGGGAAGGTTAAAAAACAATATGAATAACTACAGTGTAAAGTGCCATGATGGATGCCATGAGCAGCAGGGAGAGGGTCCAAGAGACGAGAGGAGGGAAAATGATAAAAGACAGGAACATAGGGAAGGTCTTCCAGAGCAGTCAGCCTCAGGTGTGGACTCTGAGGACAGGGGATCCTGCCCCAAGGAGGTGGGGAAGGGCAGTGAACGTATTCCAGGCAGAAGGAATGGGAGGCAGGGAGCCAGGAAAGCATGAGGCAGCTATGGGAATGCCATGAATTCATGTCCTTGTTTCAGTTTGGAGACATTTTGTAAAAGAACAAGAACAGGAATACAAAAACTAAAACAGGAATACAACAGCTAAAGTAGTATAGTGAATAATATGCCGGCAAAGTTTAGCAATAAAAACTTTCAAGACAGAAAAAAGTAAAGGGTGATTTACACATTACAGAGTAAACTGGTGACATGTGGATTTCATGAGTAAGAGTACATAACATATTCAAATTCATTTCTCAGTGATCACGACCTCAAATCCCTAAGAGATTAGAGATGTATGTTTTCAAAGGAGGCCATGCCAAGTGAACTGGTGGATTACTCTTCCCAACATGTTAAGTAAGTTTCCTTCACTGAAAAATCTTTTGCTTGAACCATGAACTACCAAACCGAACACTTTCCAACGATTTCTTTTCCTGGTCTACTTTTACAAAGTTATTACCTAAAGTGAGAGGATACATATTAGATGACATAAGTTTGGGGTCTGTTACTTACCAGCGGAGTCATTTCAATGATGTTCAAGAATCAGTATGCATTAGCCAGACTAGTTTCAAGGTGGAGTAAATGTGTATCAGAGGTGAACATGATTATTGATAGGTCTAAGGATGTGTGCACCTTTGCATATTTTTCTATCCTCTGGCCCAAACTTAGAAAGCTACTGCATAAAGTAAGCTCTCAAAAAGAATTTCTGTGAATCGGAGCTCCCTTCTTTTTCTCTTTATTATAATCAACAAGCTAAGTTAGAAAGAAAATCCAGACAGCATCATAGGCCATTAACCAATCTCAAATGGTGGGTATTAAGATAGGAAATAATCCCTGGTCAGTATTTCTATGTCCTCCCAAGTCCGGTAGATTCTCTGCATATAATACAAAACTGGATGACATGGCCCTAGGCCAGGCTTCCTTAGCAAGCTTACCATATACCACATGCTGGGCCACTTGGGATCATTGAAATAGGTAGACTGGGCACGACTGAAGTCATAATCCCTCTTTGTCCGCTTTTTTACCACTTGCTGTTGGATCCATTCCACCTGCCAAGAAGGACATTGGGTGAGTATTCATGTTCCATCAGGGTTAGCACAACATAAATGACAGTCTGAGGCATTTCCCATCTTAAGTCAATGCTATTTAAGTCACAGGTTTCATTATGGCAACTAAAATCTCTGAGTCTAAGTGCTCAGGGATTCCTTAGAAACCCAGGGTTTTTTGTGTTTGTTTGTTTAATGAAAGTAGGGATTTTAGTTTTTTTATGTATAGATTATCTATATCTCTCAACAACAAGCTAACCTTTTTGCTTTCTCAGAAATCCTATTTACTTCCAATTTACTAAAAATTGGTAATGTTAACTTTTAAGGTAATTTTTCATCCTTACTTTATGCTAAGGGCTAGTCAACTTTTTCTATAAAGGTCCAAAAAATAAATATTTTAGGCTTTGCAGGTCACATGGTCTCTGATGTAATCACTCATTTTGCCATTGCAGCACTGTAGATGATATATAAATGAATGGATGCGAATGTGTTCCAATAAAACTTTATATACAAAACCAGGCTGGATTTTGTTTCACATGCCACAGTTTATAATTCCTGACTTCAAGTATGCATCCATTTTTTAAAACTTTCTGGGAGCAAAATGCTCCAGGATCACAATTTTTTAAAAATGGCTTTCTACAACACCGTGCGGTGGAAAAGCACTATTTGGAGAATTAGAAAAACCAAATCAAATCCCTAGTCCTATCTCTGGCACAAAATTGGAGAAGCCACTCAATTTCCTGAGCCACAGGCTCCCTGCCAGCTCTCAAATTCAAACACGCCCTATTTGAGAAAAGTCTCAATATTTAGTTATAAACTTGTTTAAACAAAGTAACCAGAACCCTTGAGTCTAATGCAGAATTTATAACCTAGCGGTAGGGGTATGTATGCGAACACTTTCTTTAAAACAGATTATCCTTATGGCAACGCAAAAATAAGCATGTTGCAGTGTTAGTGGGATGTCTCGAATGCAAAATCAGCCCTGGTGGCGTTCTTCAATTTGTGCCCAAATGCTCCTTTGTTTGATTTCTTCTGGTGATAGCTCATTTAGTCACAATGCTCTGAAATGTTTTGTTCCACCATTTATCCCTCCTCTCTACAACGGAATTAAAAAATGAGGCCGGGCGCAGTGGCTCAAGCCTGTAATCCCAGCACTTTGGAAGGCCGAGACGGGCGGATCACGAGGTCAGGAGATCGAGACCATCCTGGCTAACACGGTGAAACCCCGTCTCTACTAAAAAATACAAAAAACTAGCCGGGCGCGGTGGCGGGCGCCTGTAGTCCCAGCTACTCGGGAGGCTGAGGCAGGAGAATGGCGTGAACCCGGGAGGCGGAGCTTGCAGTGAGCTGAGATCCGGCCACTGCACTCCAGCCTGGGCGGCAGAACGAGACTCCGTCTCAAAAAAAAAACCAAAAACAAAAAATGAGTGGGGAGGAAGCGGGCTTTGTAGTCCACTGCTGTAATTCCATATCCAGCCATTCAGTGAACATTTTAAAACCTCTCTCACCTACTCAATTAAAAGATTACCGGAGGAGAAGGGATCCCAAGGCATCCTTCTCAATCAAAGTAGAGCAGCAATGATGGGTGTGCATGTACATTTTCTATTTCCAGGAAACATGTTAACCTCTTCATTTCAAAAAATCTAAGGAATGCAGTTCATTCACTCATTCATTCATTCAACAAACAAGTGCTAGGTACTGTGTTAGAAATACGAAGATGAGCAAGAATTGCTTTTAACTTTGAAGGACTTACACTTTATCAAGGAAATGTAACAAGTATTCCACAATTCTCCACTTCATAAAAATATCTTTACCTCCACGAATGACATCTGACACAGCCCCCATCACTGTATTACTTAGACTATTTATGATGATTTTGACTATGCAACTTGTAATCCTTATATTACTATCTGTAAGTCTTATCCCAATAAAGTTAACAAGTTCATATTTGCATGCTTGGTAAAAGAAGGCTGCTTAGACAACTCTTTTCAAAACGAATCCTATATTGGCAGTGGCCTTTCCTAATGAAGCATTCATAAATTCCACACTGCCAACCTATATATGTGCATAAACCAGAAAGTATCATGCCTCCCCCAGTGCGGACTCATTAAAGAGACTGCTAGAGATCAGGAAAGTCTATCCTGGGGTGGGAGTGGATAACTGTTCCTTAGAAAGACACTATAAATACTCACTGCTCCCTGTGCACACATTCAAACAGACAAATGAAGTAAGTATGTGAGAAAACCAAGTGACAGCCATTTTCCTAGACGAACTATAGGCACCAAAATAGAACAAAATATCTTACCCAACAGCATCCCTTCTATAATTTCACCAAACAAAAATGCTTAGTTACAGGACTTACTGGCTAGAAGGTGACACAGCAACTTGGCATCTAGATTTGACTACAAGTCACTCTGTCTGATCACAGGGCTGCAATACTCAAGAAAAGTTCAGTGGGTTTTTTTTAGCGTCAAATACCATGTATTTTGCCTTGGTGCCTTATGGGTATGTGTATATAGCCCTGTATTTTTTGGAAAGTGGGAAAAGCACCTCTTGGATCGGAAGGTTTCTATGACTGGAAAGACCATATTTATATTTTTAAGCTATTATCCATATGTCTATCCTTGAGCCCTTTAAGGAAAAAGCCAGAGGTAATGCATTCTACAGATTTTATTTCTTGCCAAGAAGCCTCATGCAAAGAAAAGATACTTAAAAATTCATTTTCATAAAACTATGGTCAGCCTAGGAGAAGGGAATTATTGTGTGTTTTGCCTCACTGGCTTAACTTCTGAAAGTTCTATTTCCAACACATTAAGGAACTACAGTTAATCCAGAGTGTAAAAGCTACAGAACCTTTGAAATCGTCAGTCTATCCTCTGTTAATTTAAACATACATGTGCCATATGATTTCAGGGACACTCCCTCCCTCTATTCACAGTACTCTCTTCCCTTTGGACCTTGGTCCAAGTAAACATTGTGCATTTGCTGCTTAAGAACCTTTCTCTAAAGATGTCCTCCTTTATAAGATCCAAAACACATTAATTGACAATTATGGGAAGCCCGGCCTCATAATCTCAGCTGAACTTGTATCTCATTATTTTGGAATTTACCAGCTTTCTGATACTACACATGGGGAAAGCAACAGGAGGAGAAAAAATGTGATCATATGAATATAAATCATGTAAGTTATTACGTAAATATAAATGGGAAACAAATTATGCTGTTGCTTTAAAAATGCATCCTGCAGTGATAGGGAATCAGCCCTTTAGATATTAAAAAGTATTATGCTAATAATTAAAACACATACTAGTAGCAAATGTCTACAGATATACCAGTGTAATAGCATAGAAAGTCAAGAAATTGACTCAAAACATGTAAGAATACAGTATATGATAATGGGATTATTCTAAATAAGTAGGGAAAAAAATTACTTCATAAATGTTTCGGAACACGTTGGTTGGAACCACCACCAACTGGAAAAAAAAAAATAAAGCTGAAGGCATTTCTCACGTCTTAGATCAGAATCAATTTCAAATGAATCAAATATTTAAATGTAAAGGTACTATAAGAAATATGAGAGATGTTTAAAACTAATCTCAGAGTGGAAGATTGTATCTAAGTATAACACAAACCAAAAAGATGATTTAGAAACACTGATTAATTTAACTACATAAAAATAATGTGAATGACATGGCCCAAAAAAAAAAAAAAAACACAAAACATCACAGGGAAGGTAAAAGACAAACTGGGCAAAAGTGTATAGCTCCTCCCATGAACAAAAGACTATCCCCCTAATATAGAGAGAGTTTCAACAATTAATAAGAGAACAATTCAACAGGAAAAGCAGCCACAGATACGGGTAGAGAAACCTCTGAAAAGGTAAATCAGGTTCTTATATAAAATACACTTAGCCTCATGCATATTAAGACAAAAGCAAGTAAAACCAAACTGAGATACCCCTTTTCACCTTTCAGATACAAACAAGCTAAAGGTTGATAATATACCGTTAATGGGGGGATGGGAAAAGGTTCATTGTCACATAATGGTGAGGGGAATGGAAACGTGTACAACTCTGGAGGTTAATTAAACAATTCCTTTAAAAAGGGTGAAAGAAGTAATTCTATTTTTAGGAGTTTATCCTACCTATGTACACATGTGAATGTGCGAGTTTATTTACTAAAATACTGCCATTAAGAACCAAAAACTATTCGCAACCTAAATATATGTATCAATAGAGATTAATATAATAAATGATAACATATCTGCATGATGGAGTAAAGTACAAGACAACCATAAAAGAGAATGAAATGGTCTTAAGGTACTGACAGAGAATCATCTCCATGATACAGTTAAAGTGGAAAAAAAACATAAGTTACAAATGGTTTAAAGGGATGCTATATTTCTGGCATCTCTCTAAAGTGATTATACACAAAAAACCTGATAAACTGGTTGCTTTCTGGGCAGAAAACTAGTGACTGGATACAGGGATAAGAGGGAGACCTTCTACTGTATGCCCCTTTAAATCTTGTTACTTTTGATCCATGGGAATATGTTACCTATACACACTATCATACAATCAAAAACCAATTTCAAATATGACTAAGCCCGGGCCCAGTGGCTCACACCTATAATCTCAGCACTTTGGGAGGCCAAGGCAGGAGAATGGTTTATGCCCAGGAGTTCAAGACCAGCCTGGACAACATAGCAAGACTCTCATCTTTACAAACAAACAAACAAAAATGTTTAAAAAAGTAGCCAGGCGTGGGGACATGAGCCTGTAGTCCCAGCTACTGAGGAAGCTGAGGTGGGAGGATAACTTGAGTCCAGGAGTTTGAGGCTGCAGTGAGCCATGATCAACGCACTGTCCTCCTGCCTGGGTGGCAGAGTGAGATCCTGTTGCTAAAAAAAAAAGACTACATATCTAAATCACAGCGTATTTCTTTGAAAAGCAGTTAATGAGAAAAAAAGATACATAAAAAGTGCCTTAGATGATTTTATATTAT